GATCGGAATGATAGCTGAAACATAATAACAAACGCGTGCTGCTTTGCCTCCCTTTTGCTATGGCCGGAGAATCCTAAGCAAAAAAAAGACTGGATATTAATTCCCACTGAAAAACTCTCCGTAGAACTCAAAAATGACCACCAAAGCAATCGCCCACTGAAAGGGATGCCCTGAAAATTACGAAAATCATGAAACAGTACGTTGCAGTGTATTATTCGGCGTATGGCGCATAGTGACCAGTGCCGAGAAATGCGCAGAATCATAACAGAGCACAAGCGGCGAACGATGACACTGAGCCGATGGGCATTCCAACGGCAAATAGATACCACCGAACGGAATTGGCGACAGCTCCTCACCTGCTGCATTACGGAGCACTGTGTCCGAAACAACTGCAAAAGTAGGTTCTAAAAAATTAAAAAAAAATCAATAATGCCAAAAAATTCGATTTTTTTAAAAAAAACATGAAGCTTGGTATTTCCGAAAAATACTGTGACTTTTATCAGTTGAATGGATGGCTATAAAAAGGGCGGCAATAAAACAACAGACAATAATTAATGCATAGCAAAAAAAAAAATTGAAATCGGCGCGCTAAAAAAAGAGGAATTACTTACCAACAATTGGTCGTTTGAGAATATGAGCAAGCGCGAAAACATGGATTGATTCGAGGCTCTCATATACCTGCTCCGAGCTACCAGTCTTACAGGTTGTTTCGTCCTCTCTGAAATTCAAAAAATAATTATTCTTTACACCAGGCACCGGTAACCTTTGGCGAGACGCAAGCTTAATTTACATACTTTTACATACTCAAGTTCACGGGCCAATTCTTGATAAAAGAGGGTAGCAACGCACCAAAGCTCCATGGGTCTTGGGGCTAAATTTGACGCGTTCGCCTAGTCAGGCATCACATTCCGATTCCCATCGTGGGCCGGATTAAAATCGATCACGGGCCGCCGGTTGCGCACATGTGCTTTTACACAAATATAAGTTCGCCTAGCACACTGATGTACCCCCCACCCCGCCTCCCCTCCTCCCCACAGCGTATATCTAGGCATTCTTATTGGCTTATCCATCGCGAGCAAATCCCCCTTGCTAAGGAGTGATACTGCAATTCATCAACACTCAAACTCTACAACGGCTGTGCACGCTAGTTCCTTAATAAATTTCGTAATTTCGCTCGTTCCTCACAAAACGATTTCCCCTCCCCCCCC